TTTGCCGGGTAACCAATGCAACGGGTGGGTCCTGACTGTCTCTCCCAATCCCCGTTTCAGTCCTGTGGCCACTGCCTATGAAGGCTCGGTTGGCTTTTACCTCTGTAAGTTCCTAAGGGCCGGCCAATTATTTCAGCGGGCTCGTTAGTGCTGAGTCACACGAAGCAGGCGAATCGGAGCTTAATTGCCTCCGATTCGGGCTCTGTGTGTGTGTTCTGAGGGGCCCAGCCTGTACACCCCAGATCCACGTCAGCTCAGCATTGCCTAGTGATCCTGAGCAAACAGCATTTAGACAGTTTACGGCTCCCTATGCCCGCGCAGTTGAAGATGTCAGAGACTTGATCTCTCTGCGCCTGCCACCATGTTACATCTCCTCAATAATATTCATGTTGCCCTTACAGCTTCCTGGTATAAGCAAGTTCTTGGGATTATACAAACTGCTGCTTCTGTTTCCAGTCCATATTTCTAGAAATGAAACCCTACCGCCGTCGCCTCCGTCTCTGGGCTGTGCTCACGAGCACCGCGCTTGTCTGCGACCGTAGCAGAGCCGCCCTGGCCTCCACAGCTCTTCAGCCCGTTGCCCGGCCCCAGGGGCCCAAGCGGCTGCCGCCGCGGCTCTCCATCCCCCTCCTCCGGAGCACGGGTCCCCTGGCAGGGGGGTGCAGAATGACCTCAGAGCAGGCTCTGCCTGAAGGTGCAGCGGCGAACAGGCCACCGAGACGCTCGAGGCTGCAGTCCAGCCTTCGGAGGACAGGGCTCGGCACGCAGCCCAGCTCCAACCTCTAGGTGCGGCTGCCGGACAGTGTAATACAGAGCCATCAAGACAGCAAGCAGAAAGCAAATCTCATACAACTTCTGAGAGGGCAATTTGGCAATTCCACTTAAATTTGCCTTAGAAATATTTATCACAGAACCAATTATAACAATATAAACAGGTATAACTATAACAAATATTAACAATATAAACTGTTATAACAATTATGATAATATAACAATATAATAATTCTTATAATGATTAATAGGAATTTGATTACATGAACTGTGGCACATCCAAATTGTGAGGTATATGCTGATATGGAAAAATATCTCCAAGATGTCTTATTAATTTGTTAAAGTTTTAGAAAAATGTCATTTTTAAGGATTATAAACTATGCCTATGAAGGCATATATTTGCTTATAAAAAGCACCTCTCTTTAGGCCAGGTGCATGCTTTTAATCCCAGCCATTCAAGAGGCTGAGCCAGGAGGATCACAAGTTTTAGGCCAACCTCAGCAGTTTAGCAAGGCCTCAAGCAACTTAGCAAGGCCTTGTCTCAAAAAAAAAAAAAAAATTAAAGGGCTTGGATAGGACTCAGTGGTACAGTGCTTGCCTAGGATGTGTGAAGCACTGGGTTAGATTTCCAGCACTACATAAATAAACAAAATATAGGTATTACCAAAACAAGGGCCAGGAATGTGGCTCAGTGGGTTAGTACTCCTGGGTCCAATCCCCAACACACCCCCCCCAAAAAAAAAAAAAGCATTTATATTTTACATTCAGGAAACACAACTAAATGCTTTGGAAGAAAAAGCTCAGACAACAGTAATTACCTTGTATGAAAGAGACTCATGGGTCTTGTGGGGGGGGGGGAGTTTTCATTCTACATCCCATGTTGTGCTATTTTTATTTTTTGCCATATTCATATTTTAGTTACTGTAAAATTTTCAGTGTTTGCAAAGATCATGTAAGTTTTTTTTCCTTTGGATCACCTCCCAGTGAAAAAAATTAAAAACGTTTGATTAAAAAAAAATAATATTACTAAATGCATCAAAGAGCCTAATAAGAGAATGATGGGTTAACAGGTCAAAACCTGAGAGGAGCCTGGCGCCATGGCGACACCTGTAATCCCGGCCACTTGGGAAGCCAAGGCAGGAGGATTGTGAGTTCAAAGGCAGCCTCAGCAAAAGCAAGGTGCTAAGAAACTCAGTGAGACCCTGTCTCTAAATAAAATACAAAATATGGCTGGGGATGTGGCTCTGTGGTTGAGTGCCCCTGGGGTGCCCCCTGCTACTCCTGGGGAGGAAAACTTTCAAAGGAATGAGAATGGTATTTTCAATGTATTCAAAAAATTAACTTTAATAACACAAAACTTTATATGAAATAAACACAAAAACAATACATACAAAACTTTTGTTTTGAAAATGAAGATAAAATAAAGCAGACCAAAAGAAGAGAGGTACATAAAATTCATCCTTAACAAAACTAGAAAGTCTGAAATGCAAAAAAGAATGAAGAGGGTAAAAATGGTCAGAGAATTGGTAATCAATTATGACAGAAACAAAACAGTACTAATATCCAATGGGATTTTTTTTTTCTTCTTAGAGAAGCACTGTTAATTTTGAAACAAAAGACCCAGAATAAAAACAGTTAGCAATAACACATACACCAGAGTTGGGAATGTCTGGAATTTTTAGGTGTTATATTATCAAGAAGGAGGATAAAATTAGTAATGAACTTTACACTTTGACAAATTACATATGCATGATATAATTACCAAATTACCAAGGTAGCCACTAAAACAATCTAAACAAAATACAGAACCTTTGATTCAAAATTTTTATACAGTTGATCTTCTATATTTTAAAAGTATATAAACCCTTGCATATGGATATCAAGAGACATATACAAAAATATTTAGAACAACATAACAGTAATGGCTGGATTTCCCATTCAGAACCATGAGCCAAATCATCTCTGTTCTTTATAAATAATCCAGTCTGTGGTGCTATGTTTTTACAGCAAAAAAATGGAATAAGACTCCTGCAATGAAATATTACCCTACTTGCAAAATGACTGAAATACCAACACTTGCTATACAGATGATCTTTAAAAAACAGTGGTTCTAGAGCTGGGGATATAGCTTAGTTGGTTGTGTGCTTGCCTTGCATGCACAAGGCCCTGGGTTCAATCCCCAGTACCACCAAAAAGGAAAAAGAAAAAAAAAAAATACAGTGGTTCTTGGGGGTGGGGTTATGACTCAGTGGTAGAGCACTTGCCTTGCATGTGTGGGGCACTGTGTTCAGTCTCTCAGCACCACATAAATTAAATAAATAAAATGAAGATATTGTGTCCATTTACAACTAAAAAATTTTTTTGGAAAAGGGCTGGGAATGTGGCTCCATGGTTAAGCACCCCTGAGTTCAATCCCTGGTACCAAAAAAACAAAGAGAAGAAGAAGAAAACATGAAGACAGGTTAAGAATCAGAGACAATTATAATTCTTTAAAATTGAATACAGAGCCACGCTCGGTGGCATACACCTGTAATCTCAGCTGCTTGAGAGGCTGAGGCAGGAAGATTGCAAGTTCAAAGCCAGTCTCAGCAACTTATCGAGGTCCTAAGCAACTTAGAGAGGCTCTGTCTCTACATAAAATATAAAAAGAGGGTTGGGGATATTGCTCAGTGGTTAAGCACCCCGGGATTCAATCCCCAGTACCAAAAAAAAAAAAAAATTGATTATAGACAATGATGAAAAATTGAAATGTGGAAGCTATAAAGTTCACACATATGAAGTCCTTCACAGGACTTCAGAATCAGAAAGGACCTTAGGGATCCTTTATTCCGGTGCCCTTATTGACTAGATAAAGGGATCAACAGAGGGGCTTTGCTGCTTGCTAAGAAAGCTAACTAGTGAAAGTGCTGGGCTCCCTGCAGCAGTTATGATGGGAGAACATGGCCTAGTTGGGAGACTGTAAATACAATTACGACAGACAACTGCATGTCTGACAGACTGACAAGACCTGGGATTAGCCAGATGGAAGGATATGTCTGGCTTGGACATTTAGGCAGGCAGAGACTGCCATTCAGAGACTATGTGAGCAGAAAGAGATGCTGTTGGAGGAACAATGACAATGTGAAGCAAGACGTTGGTTTCATCAGCCTAGCAAAACAGTGAAACCACAGCCATGGTGAAGTCCGGGAAAGGGACTGCGAAGCAGCAAGAGAAGAGGACAGCACTAACCTCAAGGGAGGGAAGGAAAGGAACCAATGAATGGGGTCTAGAAAAAATAGAGAATTCAAGAGAAAAAGTGAAGGAGAAGGAAGTAACCAGCTTAACCAAAAGGGGCAAAGGATTTGTACCAAATAAAACAGGTGTAGAGCGGGGGTTGTGGCTCAGCAGTAGAGCACTCTCCTCGCACGTGCAAGACCCTGCATTTGATCCTCAGCACCACATAAAAAAATAAATAAGTGAAATAAAGGTATTGTGTCCAACTACAACTAAAATATAAATATTAAAAAATAATAACGGGGGTGGGACACCATGAATATGGAAAGTTTTTATAAAGCCACTGATGACTTCTAATGTAGAGCAATAATGAACAGGAATCAATGAAGGCCTTCTCAAGAAGCTTGACCATAAACACAGAAGGAGGTTCAAGGACTTACGGACCCCCTTCCCCATACACCCATTGTAGCAGACAAGTTAGAGGCTGCTGTATTTAAGATAAGAAGAGCGTGTCCATAACTGGATGGAAGCCAAGAGGAAATGCCCCAGAAAGGCAGGCAGAGCTGAGGGGCAGGGGTCAGCTTGGCTCAGAACTGGAAGGAAAAGGGAAGGACCAGACAGTGGGTGGGGGCTCATAGAACTTTGCTCAGGGGAAATCTGGGAAGTTGAAAGGCTCACACCCAATGGTATGTGAAAATAATGTCCCCAGAGAAGAGGAAAGAGAGGTGAGGGGATTATTGAAAGAATTTGAGAAGAGTCAGGAAAGCCTTAGCCAGAGTGGAAGCTTCCAAGGGTTTTATTCAGTAAAGATAACCCTGTTTCTCCTGGGTATTCATTTTCAGACTTATCACTATGTAAAAATGTTCATTTCAGTTGGAAAAGGACATTCTTCTGCCAACTTTTTTCTCCCTGGCAATTGAGTCTTTATAAAGTTTACAGAAATGTTCCCAATGATCCCAGAGGCAGATCTACAAAAAAAAAAAAAAAATGACATAATTGTCTCTAAATCTCAACAGAAATATGCCTACAAGTCATGCAGGTCCCTAAGTTCCTGGGTTAATGATCTCATGCAGCGACTGGATTTCTTCAATACCTGGGCCAAAGTGGCTTACACTGCAATACATCGTCGGTATGAATGAAAACTGCTTTGTTTCTTCCTTATTTTTGCTAGAGCTTAACAGTTTATGAACTAATTTCACATGCTTGGTCTTTGGGTTCTCAGAATAACATGTGAATTAAGGAGTAGATGAATTCTTGTCTTCCATTTAGGATGAGAAAATGGGGATCTTGGGAGCTGAGAGTCCATTCAAGGTCCCTAAACTCTGAGACAGAGATAAGGACTTAGCAGCCAGAACATTTTTTTCCATTTTTCTACACAGCGTCCTAAGAAACACGTAGAGAGAAATATGAAGTGATACATGAAAAATTTGGCTACATGTGATTTTTCCATGTATTTTTGGTCATAATAAAAGCAGTGTGAAGGCCTGAGACTAGCTACCATTGACCAAGGGACTCACAGAGTATCAAGCCTCTTTCCAAGAGCATTGCTGTTCCTAACACACCAAGTATCCTAGTAACCCCCATCATCCTATTTCAGAGATGAGGAAGCTGAGTGTATGAAGTAACTTTCCCAAGTTTTCACAAGTAGAAAATGGAAGTATTGAGGTTCGAACCCAGAAAATCTGGTACCAAAGTCTGTGCCAGGCTGCCTCTTAACCATTAAGTATAAAGGAGTGTTAGAACAAATGCAAACACCAGACCACATCTCTGGGGATTCTTTTGGAGAAGTCTGTAACTCAGAAACAATTGATAAGACTCCAGAAGGCCCAGACAGGTTCCCCACTGTAATAATGCCCTGTGTTACTCAATTCCATGGCCTTCCAACCAAATCGCTTGTCTTCCTTTTCCCCTTACCAGCTTCAAAGCATACTTGGTGCCCATTAAAGTATAGCACAAGAGTCCTGAGTGGGAGGGAATTGAGTGGGAGGAATGGAGCTGGGGATACAGCTCAGTTGGTAGAGTGCCTGCCTTGCATGCACAAGGGCCTGGGTTCAATTCCCAGCACCACAAAAGAAAGAAAGAAAGAAAAGTGAAAGGATGAGCCTGGAGGGACTGGAGGAAATGGCCCAGGTCACCTGCAGGTATGCAATTATTATGTCCTTACGCACCTCACCTGGTCTGCTTCTCAATAGGTACATGAGATTCATCACATCTTCAAATGAAACTGCTTTATCACCTAGTCAAAGCTTCACATACCTTCCTGAATCAGAGTCTGATTTCTTTGAAGGATTTCCTGCAAGATACTGGCTCCCAGCTTTCTTCTTCCCACAAGGTGAGCATTAGAAACCAGGATCAGCCCTACACTGGGCCCAGTATCTCCACAACTCCTCACCCTCTTCACAAGAGGTTTAGACGACAGCACCTATGCCCTGGCAGGTACCAGGGCCTCTACCCTCCTCTCTCACTTTCTTTCTTCATCAAAATAGGCTTACCTTTGTCAGATCTCACCTGTACCTTGGCAGGTCACTTTCTCATCTCTAGGCTATGATTCAGTGATGTCAAAGACCCTCCCTGAGACCACTATAACTTAGGAATTGATTCTGTGCTTCAGTTGTTTATTCATTTGTTGATAGATGGCTGAATGCTTGCTGGGACTGGGACCCCACCTGCTCAGCAGAAAAAATTGACCAGGATATTGCCACAATGAGTGATCAGGGATGTACAGGAAGTTGTAAAGAAGCAGTAGTAGACTAGAAGCTTCAGGAGGACAGGAATGGGTCTGTTTTTATTGCTGTCATATCCATAGGACCTAATACTGTTACCGCTGTTTACCGGTGACAACTTGCTTCCCCAAATGCTGAAGTATAACACCAGAGAAGCACACTGAGGCAAGTATAGAGTGGAAAGTAGAAGGCTTTATTAAAGGACAGCAGAAAAGACTTCTCCCCAAGGAAGAAGGGGACCCAAAAGGCAGAATCTGTGGAAGGGGGAGGTCTTCCCTTTTTTAAAGCTAAGGTCTTCTTTCAGCTTTCCCACATTCATGTCTTTTGTTTCCCTTTATCTTGCAGGGATAGAATGCAGGTGGGAAGGCCCAAAAGATGGGAGATAGGTGAGTGGAGGAGTAATCTGAGCAAGAAGGGCCTGGGGCAGCTTTTGATTAGCACTTCCCGGTTTGCTGGGAGCTGCTTCATTAACACTTCCTTAGGATGGGTACTGGGCCTTGGGGACATTAATTTCCCCAATTTCAATTTCCCCAAGTGCTGCTCTGGTTTCCTGGACTCCATTCTCAATAATGGCCTCCATTTTCTTTATTTTATTCAATATTAGACCCAATTTACCTAACTACACTAACTACCTATCTGTAAATCTAGCTTCAATACTCCCCCAGCACCAGCGAAGTTATTTGCAGAATGACTAGATGTGTTTCTGAAGGAACATATGAACAAATCAATACTTTTGGAGTATGAAACATGGGTACCTTAATTCAGGGCCTGGAAGGAAATAAATGACTTTTAAAAAGAGACTTGAAGGTTACTGCCAGTTAAGTGTTCTCCAGGTGGGGATAGAAGAAGAGGAGAATAATTAAAAGCACTTCCACAGAATTTATGGGGTGCCAGGCACTGTTCCAAGAACTTAGTATAAATTAAGTCATCCAATTCTCGTGACAATCTTTGGAGTCTGTTACTGTTATCATCCCTATTTTCAGATAGAAAAATCTTGGCCCATATGTTGTATGACTTTAGACAAATAAACAACAAATACTGATTAATCAGTATTTAATCAGTATTTAATCAGTATTTTAATCCCAGTTAGCTCTTCTCCCTGTGTCCTTTATTCCCGCACCCATTCAGCTGTTTATGCCAGAGACCTGAGAGTTGCTCAATCTGATTAAGCTACGATTTGAACTTAGCCTGCCTGACTTAAAATACTGATTAAGCTACGATTTGAACTTAGCCTGCCTGACTTAAAATGTCAAGTGTTCATCCATTGCCCAAAACTGAGAATAATATCTGTATTGGTGATTATTCCAGTCAAGAGTCCAGAGGTAAGAGAGAGGAAAGCAAATTAGAAGAAACCAAATGTTCATTATGATCAGAGCAAAAGACCCACAGAGGGAGAATGGTGTAGGATGAAGCTGGAAGGATGGGTCCAGGAACCCTAAAAGTTGATGCCACCCTGTGACCACGGGAGCTATTTAATGTGTTTCAGGCCAGAAGGGTCATGAACAATAGCTACAGGAAGGAAGAAGGGCAAGGGTGCACTGGAGGAGTACAAGGCCAGGTCCCAGCCATCCAGGGAGTCTGCTTTGCTCAGGGCAAGAACTGGTGGTGCCCTGCAGTAGGGTGACAGTAGGGGACAGCAGAGAAGAAGTTGCGTAGACAGGAATTAGGAAAGAGAACCAACCAGACTCGGTGTTTGAAGTGATGGGGTGCAGGAGGGACAGATTGAGCAACTCTCAGGTCTCTGGCATAAACAGCTGAATGGGTGCGGGAATAAAGGACACAGGGAGAAGAGCTAACTGGGATTAAAATGATGGCCATGTCAAGTTTGAGATGTGTTTGTTGGTTTTCCTGCTGCACATAGCCTTGCTCTGTGTGACCAGGGGTAAAATGACCACCAGCCACTAAGCAACCACAGAGAAAAAAAGCGCCTTCCTCCTCCCAGTGTCCATATGTCATTTTCTGACAAAGATTCTGGCACACTTAGTCTTGTCCTCACTCTGGCCCCATCTTTTTGCCAAGATGGCATCGGAAATGGATATAGGATCCAAAATTTATAACTCCCCTATTCCCATAAAAATATGGGGGAACGGGGGCTAGACCTACAGAAAAATCCACGTTCACCTCCACCAGGAGGCGTATGCACTTGCCAGACTAATAGCACAAAGACCTAAGTGAGGTGAGTGCACAGGTCTTGCCCTTATCTCTCTTCCTTCCTGACTCAGCTTCTCCACTCTTCTATCTCCATGAGGGAAGGGGTGTTGCCCACCCCTGAGGGAAGTCCAGAGACTCACAAGGAAATTGTTGGTATTTTTCTTCAAAGCCTTTCTTTCTGCTGTGCTTCAAGACTATGGAAGAGCCCAAGGAATCTCTATGGATGGCCTCACTTTTACCCACCATGTGATTTCTGACACCAGTGACATCAAAGATGAGGAGCTCTCCATAATTATCCAAAAGAAGCTCAACACAGTCAGGAGAGCATTTAAGGTACTGACAGGATTGGAAAGGGTAGTTGTTCATTCCCTCAATGAACCTTTATTCAGTACTTACCACCTGCCAGGTAGGTACCAGAGAGGCAGATAAATAAGGCACAGAGCTCTTCAAGTCCAAATGCCATCCAACTGCGCCCGGCAGCCCACTTATTCCAGAGCTCAGCCATGTGGCAAGCAGAATCTCCTCCCACCCCCAACCAGCACTCAGCAAACACAGTGAGGATGGCCAGGAAGACAGCCCAGGCTGGGAGCGGTGGCCATGCAGCCAGCCATATGCTCCGGGTAATCCCAGCCCTGCTGTGCTCTCACCACCCACTACTTGAACGCTTGTGCTTACTAAGTGCCAATCTGCTCTAGGAATCTACTACTCCAAGATCCACACTCAACCACATTAAAGATGAGCTTATCACATTTCATTGTTTTAAACACCCTGTTAGGATTTTGAACAGTTTGCTCAAAATCAAGAAGGAATCATTGTCTTTTAAATATCAGGGTTTTCCACCTAGAAACATAGTTGTTCCATTTGTTTAGGTCATTTACATCTTTCAGGAAATTTTGTTTTCTCCACATTGAAATTATCTTCAGGTTATTTTCTTAACAGTTTTCTTACAATTGTTGTTTTTTGTGAATAGGATTTGTAGTACTGTACAACTGGCTCTTTGTCATGAGTCTTGTACTTGGGGTTAGTCAAATTTGAGGTTAAGGGCACAGTCTATCAAGACTTCTAACACCAATAGCTAGTTTAGGAGTTTCCCAAAACAAACTTCAGGTGTAATAATTTACTAGAAAGACTCACAAAACTTCCAGAAAGCTCTTTTGTGAAGTTCCTGTTTGAGACTTTAGCCAACTTTTGATTGGCTAGTCTTTGTCATATTGATTTGTTGAAGTTCTTTGTAGATTCTGGAATAAGCCTTTTGTCAGGTTAATATATAGAATTTATCTTCTCTTGGTATGTGACTTTCCTTTTTACTTAGTGTTGTCTTCTGCTGAACAAAAATTATTTGTTGTGTAAGTCTGCTATGCTATATCCATCTCCTTTTTAAGTCCTAAGAAATCTTCCCATCGCAAGGTTACTAAAATCTTCTCTTTTGTTATCTCTGGAAGTTGTATGACTTTACTTTTCATATTTATGCTTCTGATCCACATTGAATTGAGTTGATGTATTGTATGAGGTGGAGTCAAAGTCTTTTGGGTTGCGTGGTAGTACCCAACTGACTCAGTCTCATTTTTCTTTTATTGAAATGATGATCCTTACCCCACTTTAATTTTGTCATAGATCAAATAATTGTCTATCCCTGGGCCTGTTTCTCAGTCACTGATATGTTTCACTGATGTGTCTGTCTTTGTGCCGCAGTTCTATTTTAATTATTGTTGCTTTACAGTATGTATTCATACGAAGTCCTCTAGCTTTGCTCTTCTTGACAGTTGTCAGTTGATTTTCGGAGAATTGACATCTCAGCAATATTGAGACCTTTTTTTAATACATTTATTTGTAGATAAACACAATATCTTTATTTTATTTTTTATTTTTTTGTGGTGCGGGGGATCAAACCCAGTGCCTCACACATGCTAGGCAAGTGTTCTACCACTGAGCCACAACCCTGGCCCCAGCAATATTGAGACTTTTAATCTTAAATATTTAGTTTTTCTTTTTATTTCTCTAGCTTATCATGTATTTAGTTCTTCAGTTTCTTTCTAGTACAATGTTCAATAACAAGGTGATAATGGACATTCTTGTCTTTTTCCTAAGACTCAGGGAATAGCCTTCACTATTCCACCATTAAGTATTACATCAATTATAGGCTTCTTTGTAGATTAAGAAGGTTGCCTCCTAGTCCTAGTTTGTCAAAAGGATTTTTTTTTAAATCATAAGTAGGTATTGAATTTATTAAACACTTTTCCCATGTCTACTGAAATAATCAGCTAGTTTTTATCCTTTTATTTTGTTAAGGTATAATTTCTAAATTAAGATTGTTTTAAATAAGAATGAAAGTGAAATGTAATGAAGGATCTTTTCGGTATCTCTGGAAATAATCACATGACTTTTTAAAACCCTTATCAATGTGCTTAATTATATCCAAAGATTTACAGTGATCAAATCATCTTAATTATAATATTTTATTCAAAATTTTGTACCAATATTTAAGATTAGCTTATAGGATTCAGTAGTGGGGTGGGGTTGGGGGAACGGAGGGTATATTGTTTTGTTTAGGTTTTACTGTGTGCATTACCGGTTGTGATTTCCTGATTTCCTTAATCTAATTCTATCATCCATCTTTAGAGATCTCATAATTTCTGGTCTGCTAGGGACACATCTTGTTTCCAGTGCTGTTATGAGTGTGTCTGGGGATCTGGGGTCATGGGAGGAGGCTAGGCCTCATGCTGTTCGGTCTCTTGCTGCAGTCCTGGTCTTCCTTTTCTTGGCACGCATCAGACTGCACTTAGAAATGACTCAGAGAACATCTAGAGTGATTGCAGGTTGGAAACCTTTTCAGAAGGATGATACTGGGAGATTCCATTCTAGAAAAGACTTAGAAGAGAAGAACTATTTAAAGGGGTGATGCATGAAGAACTAGACTCTAAATCTACTAGAACTCCAAAGGAGTGCCAGCCACAGAGGCTTCCAGGGGGACTCACTGAGCATCAGGGCCTCCACTTGATCCAAATTGCCCATGGTGGTTAGCACAGCATCCATTTGTAGACAGTAAGTGCCCTGTTCCTGGAAGTTTAGGAAAAACAAAGTGACCACTAGGCAAGGATACCAAAGTGGAAGAAATTTAAAGTTCAGATGTGTTTTGGACTTGAAATTTGTCCAATTGTTTATCAATTCATTCACTCAAAAATATGTGTGCAAAACTGTGCTAGCTGTTGGAAATGAAAGATGAACAACACAAAGCCACTGGCCTCCAGAAGGTCAGAGCCTACCTGACCTGTCATGATGGCACCAAGGCCCCTTACCAACCTGCACTCAGCATTTATCGTGTGTCAGAGACGCATAGGCTCTTTACCTGCATTATTTATGAAAAATTGTTAGTTTTATAGGCCAGAATTAAGGTTCAAAGAGCCCAGACATGGCTTTGACCCCATGGCTTTGACCCTGCTCTTCAGCCTGTCCAACACCTTCCTACACAACCCAGCAGACACAACACTCAGGGAGGCAGGTTGCTCTGGGCCCTCTTCTCATGCCTCACAGGGACAAAGGGGGTGGGCTGCCCTCCCAAACTTGCTTTTTGTCTCTACCCATCTAATCAGATGTTCTCAGTTATTTCTGTTTATCCCATGAATCAGATTTGATTTAGGTAAATTCCTTTCATTCACTTTGGTTAGCTCTTGTGAGAATTAAGTCACCTCATCATGGACTGTTTGCAAATTACTTACATATTATGTCTTTTCTCTGAAAAACCCATGCATTCCATGTCCAAATCACACAAGTATAAACAAAGTCGAATGCATGAGAGTCACTGCTCCCATGTTGTATATGAAAAGACAACACTAGAGTCAACACAGTGTATGAAACAGCCTGTACGTTAAAGTCAAGTCATTACACAAAACAATTCCCAGTAAGTCTTTTATAGAATAAGCCAAAATATGAAGTGCTTTATATGAATTCACCTTGCACCTCGAGGCAGGTCACATCCACAGAGTAGATAGCTGAGTCACCAAGCACAGCACAGGCTGTTCCACACTTCATCTCTGTGCCAACAAGCTGGTCTGGGAGAGCTGTGTCCATCCATCTCCTCAGAGAACTGCCGGACCATAGAAGGCTGAGGCCTTCTGGGCAGCTTGGTGCTCGGCCACTCAGCACCTCAGGTGCAGCACACCTGAAGAAGAGCAGGTGGCTTCAACAGCCCCCAGGCACTCCTGGAATTGGAGCTGCTGGCAACTCTGGTTTTCTGCTTAACACCACTCATCAGAAATTCACTTCACCTTTTATTATTCATTTAATGATTTATTTAATTTCAATCAGATATGATATAGAACCTTCACTGCCTCTTTTAAATTTTCAGAGCCCTACTGAGTAATGTAGCCACCATGGTAGAGGTAGGTGACAAAGTTTGAGCCTAGTAAAATGAGCTCATTTTACAACTGTTCTTGATTTCTCCTAAGAAGCTCAGCTCAGGATTACAATTGTAGAAATATGGGGTTTTCCTGTCTGAAAATACTTGTCAATTCAGGATCAGCACTAGAAGGCAGACAAAAGCCTAAATTCTAAATGCTCAGAATGGGAAAAACTTGGGACAACACACCAGAGATGGTCCCACCTGGGATGGCATCTCCGCAGGGAGTTCCTATTAGGCTGGCAGCTTCTGCCTGGGGACCTGCTGACACCATCTCTCTTCCATCTCAGGGCTTGGATTCCTCTCATGAAGGAGTTCATATTTTTGGCTTATTCCTTGAGGGAGCACGATGGAATCATGAACAAAATATACTAGAAGACTCGCTGCCTCTTGAAATGTGTTGTGACTTTCCCGACATATACTTTATGCCAACAAAGGTAATCACCCAGCTGTTCATCAGGAAGTCCTGATCTTCTAAGCTCCCCCTCACTAAGACACACCTCTCCTCCTACTCCCTGGTACCCGCAATCTCAAGAGGGAATTATGATAGCTTCAGACCTCGCACATTTAAAATAGCCCCGAGATTGATAAAATCTGAAACAGACGCTGTATTAACATCCAATGTTATTTCTCTGTACTATAAAGCCATGGGAATTCCTCTAAATTAAATTCCCCACGTGCAAGTACATTAACTTACGCATTCAATCCTCACTGTATCCCCTGGACTTCGTGTAGGGAAAATGTGAGCTAACTGGTTTTGAACTATGCAATTTGATTATTGGATTTTTTTCTCTTTCAAGATTTCTACTGAAACACCCAATGCTTCTAACCAGACAGATTCAGAACTCTATACTTTTGAATGTCCAATTTACCAGACACCTGAGAGGTCAAGAATTTTTAACACTGGTACTAGTCTACCAACAAACTTTCTGACATCAGTGTATTTATCAACGGCGAAACCTCCTAGTCACTGGATCACCATGCAGGTGGCATTGCTGTGTGAGAAGAATGAATGAAAAATAAACTTCCATACCAAACCATCTGAAGTTTTGACTCTTTATGCTGTTCAGACCCTCGCATGTCATCAACACCCTTCCTAATGATAATGAATGGTCAGCCAGACTGGACAGGTGCAGTCTCTTTCATCTGTAGGTGAGGACATCAATATGTGGGGGAATCTTAGAGCTGCTTTTTGTTCTAACCTAATGCTCGATGTCTGCAGCTGGGCTCTCGAGCAGGTCAGCATAACCTGGAACACAGCAGGTTTGACTTGAAACCATGGTACCCAGCAAAGTTATTAGGGCATATTTCTAAAAAGCTTTTAACTCAAGTTAGTGGTTTGTGTTTTATATAAAATGCAATACACATCCTTTGGAATACTCTACACTACTGGCCTACAGACTTCTAAAAAAAATGGAAGAGCCTTCCTTACTTAAAAGAAATGCAGCCTTGGTTCTGACCTCACTAGACTACAAAAACAAATCATGAGAATTCCATAAACAGGATTGATATATCTAAATGTGTTTCTATGGGAAGAATCTCCTTAACTGTACCCTATAATTGTAACTATCATTTTGGAACACTAACAAGAATTCCATTATAATCCTCAGATGCCCTGCTCTGTACCAGGTGGGCATGCCAGCCAAATTTTACAGCTTAATAAGAGCCAGTGCTGAGACTAAACTCACCCAGGTTTGCATTTCTAAAAGGAAGGACAGCTATAATTCAAGGCCTCATTTTACTATCAGTGGACTTTGGCAATGGACATACCGAAAGTCACACATGAAGATAACAATCCATTCTCTAACATAAGGAGGTGGAAGGGTGGGACTTATACCACAAACTGGACTCATAAACAGTCACAAAGTGTTAATATGTACTTGCTTTCTGGCCTAGAAGGTGGGGTCTTATTAGTTGCAATTCATTTGCTAAAAGTTTTTTAAATTATCCAGGATTTGTTAAAAACAACCCATACTTTCTGGAAACCACCAATACACAAGGCCTTTTCTTCAAACAGTACAAAATTAAAGACCTTCAAGATATGAATCCTGTGCTAGATTTTTAATCAGCACAGATTCTAACACACACACACCTTCTGCCACATTATGGGATGACAGGAGGAGGAATGAAGAACTGACTCCGTCTGATTTCCTCACTGAGCTCAGCCTGAGTGCTGCATTATCAGCTGGAAACCCAAATGGGCATCAGGCACTGTCAGACATAAATGCCTCTTTCTTAAAGGATGTACTGTCTTTAAATAAACACAAATGCCTCTATGATTAATAGCTATTCATTTGAAGGTATTATTTTAGTTTTTAGCATTTCTCAAACTGCAAATCCTAAATACACAACCATTTTCCGGGAGTTACCCACTCCCTCACCACTACCCTTTCAAGCTCTAACATTGTGACAGCTTCAATATAAACAGCAACTGGCCAAGGGACCCAGTTTGCCATTTGGATGCCCAGTGATCCAGGAAGGTCCCAGAGGAATAATCCTAGAAAGAGCAGGGGGCGGGGAGGGTGAGTGAAGGATTTGTCTTGGTGACAATAATCCCAAAGTTGCAGGCAAAAATAAAATAAGGATCAAAGTAATCAAAGCAACATTTTTATTTTAAATTTTATTTCCAACTTAAAACTTCATTATAAAGCTTGTCAAAAAAACATGTCAAAAGCAAAATTAAACCAAACTGTAGCTGATGCCCAAGCACTGCAGTACTCATCTGATAACAAACCTTTTTCATTGCCAGGAAAAGAACTGAATGTCCTCCATCCTCCCCCAAAACCTCCCTGTGATCCAGCCCAGAACCTGCTAGAACACCACTTTCCAATACCAGGAGAAAAGCATAACTTAATAAAAAATAAAAAAAAGGCAACAAAAAAATTTGCTTGCATACATCAGTACTGATAAAACACTGACAATTTCACCAAAGCAATGTTTAAACATTACAGGATGCAGAATGCTAGAGAAAACCAACTCCATGATCACATTAACATAAGCTAGGTTATAGATACTTCAAATTGCAGGGTAGGATGAACACTGCATATCTAAATGGCTTATATAAAATGTAGAATTAAAACCCAAACATACACTATAAGTATTACATTCCCCTATGTTTAAGATACTGAGAACAATTAGTTTTTAATACAAAAGTTTGGTGAATTTGCTACTGTTCCATTATAGGACAATTAATAATGAATGAGACTACATCAACTTCACTAGAATTTAAAGGTTAAATTTCCTTTATGCACATCTATTAAAAGAAGCAATTTTAAGTTAACGCCTTGTTTTCAGATAGCACTCCTTTCAAGGTTTTGTGGACCTAAAGGACATGTGGACAAAATACAGTATAAACTGCATGAGCTAAACAGTAGCAAAATCACTCTTCAATTTAAATGAATAGTAGCAAAAACACTGTTGAATTTTAAAAGTCAAAAAAATATATAAAAATAGTAGCCTTAAATGGCAAATTTTCGAACACCAATGTTTGTAAAAAAAAAAAAGTTTAAATAGTAATGTTTCTCCAAAAATATATATTTATTCTATTTTTTCTATTTGTAAGAGTTTATAAAGGCAAACACACACCTGCAATTGAGGTAGCAAAGCCAAATTCACAAACTTTGGATTAAGAAAAAATACCTTTCCTATGTTTTAAGAGCATCTTCTATACAACATTAAATGAATTCTAATTGCTTCAAAATTTTTAATTCACATGTATTACTTTACAAAACTTAATTTAAAATACTGAAAATGTTTTTGTTAAAAAGCTACTTTAGTCCTGACAATTATCTCACATTCAAAATACTGTACAGAAAAATCTGAAGTCACCATATATTACATAAAAATAAGCTATGTATGTACATTTTCAAATGCAGTTTCAGAAGTTGAAGTTAAGCCAACTGCTACCAATGGGCCTCTTTAAACAGTGTCTGCTCCTAACCTGCCATCACTCTCCATGTACAGCGAATCCCTTTAAAAATCACATAACTTGTAAATGATTTAAAGAGAAGCAAATGAAATTGTTTTCTTAATGCAATGAAACACAAATGTATTCTAAATGGAACAGTGTTTTCACTTAAGAAAAACCAACTGGCAAAAGGGAAAAAAAAATCAAAATTTGGAATTAAAAACTATAAATATCAATAGTATTCTTTTCAGTGCATTTAAGACTAGCTTTGTTTTTTTTTTTTTTTCAAATTTTTAAGGATTGAAAATTTCCTATTAAAAGCAAATTCTAACATTGTTATTTGTAAAGTTCCTGACATTGTTATTAATTTAATAAAAATACACATGGCTATATTAACAGACATACTACTTGGCTCTAGAGTCCTGACTCAAAACTTACAGATCCTGTCAGTGCAATGAGTTTGGATTTTTTTTTCCTTGTTTTCACAAATGGAAGCCTAAACAATGGGAGCATTTTTAATCACCAGAACAGAATCAGTAAATGTACGGGAAGATGCGGTAGGGCACGCGCTGGCAGTATTTCTCCCACGCCAGGCCGTACTTCTTCTTACACTGGTGCTCATCACGTGCTTCTCGGTGGACAAGCAAAATGGTGAAGTAAATCACATAGAAATAAGGCAGGATGTGATTAAAACCTGTGGAAAATAACAGTCAAAAGCATTGGACATTTTTATTTTCCCTACACTGCAGTTTTTCCTGCCTTTCCTCAAATTCTCTAAGAATCACAGTTTTCCAGAATCTATGTACTCTATGTAGAAAAAAACCAGGCACAGTTTAAAACTCAAAATTTTATTTGTAGAAGTCCAAAGTAAAACTTCAGGCTCTGTGAATTCCAATTCCCCACAGAAGCGGGGTAAATAAGTTGTTGCATGGACAAAAAACCAGAACCCAGCTCCGGAGAAGCTCAGCTGAGGCAATCCCAACCCACCACTGTCAGCAGAAGACTCACGCTGACCCCTGCCCACTCTGTCCCAACTAAAGACACACACACATCTTTCAAAGGGCTGAAATGCTTACCACAAGGCAGGGACCACGCCAGGGCCATGATGAGATCACCCAAGTAATTGGGGTGGCGAACAAAGCCCCACCATCCAGAAACTAGAAGATTTTTTCCCGTAGAAGTATGAATGGTTTTTAAATCTATATAAAAACAAAAATACATTTTTAATGATCTCTAAAAAAGAGACATAAAATCTTCATTTAATATACATCATACAAATATAAACTACTACTTACGAGCAAGCTTTGGATTAGTGGGATTTTTCCGGAATTCATTCTTCTGAGAATTTGCACATCGGAAGATTACATATCCACAAACTATAATTTTAAAATAGTTTTTTGTTAATTTAGATATAACCTAATACATAAAATTATCTGTAATTTCTCTCAGAAATTATTTCAGGGCTCTGAGGAAATGTTCAAAGCAGAGAACATTCTGATTTTTACAAACAATTTGAAAACTCTCAAGCCCAGAATGTCAAAAAGCAACTCTTCTGAAATCTCTCTCATTATATACCTTAAAGGCAAAATGCAATCACATCCCCAAACAAAATAAAATCTAAGAAAGCCCACGACAATAAAATCAGTGCTAGAGTTTGGTGTAATCAAAATTATATGCTATCTGTTAGTTTTGATACCTAACATGAACACTTTATTAATAAAACACCAGCTTAGAACCAGTACCACTTCAAATCTATGTGGAATCCCATTGCAAACCTACAAGTTGGTAGCTTTATTTAAATTTCAAAATGTTGACATCAACAGGCCCTGACTTACCTATTGTACTGTCAGTCCTGAATAAATAAAAATACGTCTATTCCGTATTTTTAGCTTAACTGTAAAATATATAATACTGCTTTGAATAACACCCAGGCACACTTGATACAGATAACCAAACCAATGGTGAAACCAAATCTTTTTTTTTTTGGTACCAGGGTTTGAACCCAGGGGTGCTTAACCACTGCCCTTGTATATTTTATTTAGAGACAGGGCCTTGCTAACTCGCTGAGGCTGGCTTTGAACTCATGATCCTACTGCCTCAGCCTCCCAA